ACCAGAGCTTAGTAGTGCCCCAAATGAAAGTTTCTGCCTAGCAGGCACAATTCAGACCTTACTTAGTTCTTTTCATATTAGAGATTTCCTGTGATCAAGATTCCTTGTCATATGAATTTTAGAGATGTTGAATGTGATTTGAATGATACACCGCAACGTATAATGTATGTGTTTATATATGGTTGAATGTTAAACTTAAAAAAACCCAATATTTGAGGTAGCCTTCAGGAAAAAACGCGAAAACAGAATGAGAGAAAAATGGAAATGGAAAAAGGGATCAGAGCAAACAAGAGATCCCTCCAAAATGAATACCAACAAGAGAGTCATACCTTCTGAGCAGAATTGGTTATTGCAGGAGATAGAGAGCCAAGGAAAGTTTGCCCATGTAAACGGAGCGTGGCCTTGTAAACATTAGAATATTTCAAACCTAAACTGAACACACCCCTAAAAATGGCATTTTCCAGTTTATGACACCTTTCGCTGTGAAGAGCCAAGAACAAAATAATTCTCTCAGCCTGTAAGGGCCACAGGCTCTAATAATTAGATTCTCAGAACTCAGATGCAAGGCTTGGCAACAACAACAAGCAGCTCTGGGTTTTTCAGAGATACACATGTGCACATTGCTCCATTGCCCCTAGGGGCTCTGAACTAGCAGAGGATTGAAAGTGACACACGATCTGCTTGAAAAATAGATCTCACGGTTGTCAATTTGCATGTTACAATGAAGCCCTTTACTAGAAATGATACTGCCCAAAAGGAAGCATATGAATACTGAATAAAATGAAACCCTGGCAGGATCCATGGACAATTTACACTGGCAATTTGAGAAATGTTAGAAGCATAAGGGCCACTAGTGATAAAACTGTCAGGATTAGGAAATGTGAGATCTGAACCAGGCTGGTGAAGATCCAGATAAACTATTACAGGAATTCAGACTTTTTAAAACAGAATTTCATGATCAATAGTGTGTCAACTCCAGCTGACAGTTTCAGTAGGAATAACAGATAAACATAACCCTGATTTGTTACAGTCACTCACAGATCATTAGAGAGCTGCTATCAGGGCAGTCTCAGTGCAGTGAGCAGGATGACAAGTAGTCTGAAATGTATGCAGTAGATCATTACTTAGAAGTTGCTCTTCATAGCTAGGTAGCAACATTTCCAACAACCTTCAAGGGAAAAGGGAGATTAGAAACTTGGCAAAAACAAACAAATTGAATACCTCCCCCTGCAGGCAGGGGAAACAGACAAGATCAGCTGGAACAGAGCATTTTCAGGGCGGGGACAGAAGAGGTACATCCTTAGCTGGTGTAAGCTGGCACAGTTCCATCAAAGACAACGGAGCCACGCCTATGTACAGCAGTTACATATTTTACCCAGGGTGTCCAAAATATCTGTAGGAAAGTCAGTTTGGTCAACAGTCAAACAAGCTTAGACTCTGTACAACCATGTGCTCATCTCCCTCAACCTCAGCAACAGTTTCAAAATGACACTAAAAAGAGCTTTGAGAGTTACATGGGAATCAAGTAGGGCTCAATCTATTGACTCCAAAAAAACTCCAGAGGGAGCAATATGACAAAGTAACAGTGTTTAATTTTGCAGGTTGACTAAGGATGAAATCTATTTCTGTGCTGAGGACCAACACAAAAGGTAAATTTCATCCAAAGGTATCAGCAAAGAAGATGACATGACAAAAGAGAAGAGAAGAGAATGGGGGGGGGGAAGAGGGGGAAAAAGAGAAGGACACGTTCAACGGCAACTGTAAGAAAGGCAGGAGACTGGGAATTGTAAGAACTAATAGTTATTAACATAGAAGGTTTAGGATTGGAAATAGGAAGACACAAAGAAAGAGCCAAATCCAATAAGTGGCTCTTGACAGATGGTTGCCCCTTAAGAGAAGTTATAATTATCCATGATCTTAAACTCTCAGAGCCATTAACATTCATTGTATAAATATTTAGGCACTTAAACTCTCAAACTGTCCATGTGAAGTACTACTATGCAAGCACAGAAACCACTATATATGGTTTAATATCTCAGATGTATAAATCTTTCCATCTTCAAAATACAAAAATCAAGCAGATTATATTATGAACCCCGCATAGCAAGTTTTCAGGCCAGCTGCAACACTGCAGCTGCAAGTCATTGAAGAAGCTCTAGACATGCTTTGATCCCACAAGCTCATATGCATCGTTGTCCCCTGGGCCCACACAGAGTTCTACTGAAGACAAGGATTAGTTCTCACATCTGATGGGTTTGTATGCTACCAGTTGACCATGACCAGTTGATGTCTTCCTAGCTCACTATCTGGGGATGTCAGCTGACTAAAATAATGACCCCAGTTCACTCAGACACAATTACATAGAATATGCATGTTCTCAAATCAAGTGGATTATGAAGCTCTATTTGTGATAGGACTATGGCTCCGTCTTCACTAGGAAAATGATAACGGTATGTTAACTAACACGGGTTAAACCTTGTTAACTAGTGTGTTCATAAAGGTATGTTTTCTTAACCCGTTAGTTAACATGGGTTAATCCATGTTAGTAACCATAACGTTAATTTTCCTAACAAAGACAAAACAATAATCCCAGCGTAAATCTCCTGTGCATAAATTTAGGGACTAAACAAAAGCTAAATTTCAAATTGGAATAGTAGACACATGCAATCAGGTCTGTAGGAACAGGTACTTCTTTCATTGCTGTGCTATATATTTATGCAATTTAACAACTCTCTCTCTCTCTCTCATAAATTATACAGCGTCAGCTACTCGTTAAAGCAGGGGACAGAGTCAGACCTCTGTGTTTGATTCCTGACTCTGTCACTAACTTGCTGAGTGAACTGCGGACAAGATGACTCCAAATATATCTGTGAAACTGGCATAACAGAGCTAAGCCAATAATGTTAAACATTTTAAGCAAATATTTATTCAAATATTTAAATAAATTCTCTGTGTTCCCTTAGCATGAATATTCTAGCTAGAAAATAAAGCTTTCACTAATGAGGGGAAAAAAACAGATGTTAAACCCGAATTGCCCAGATACTCATCTAAAGTGGATTATGACTCACATCTGACTAACAGTTCAGATTTCAAATTCTGCACCAACATGCAATTCAAAATTCTTACTGTTGGTGGTTACTTACAGAAATTATCCACTCAGAGACCAGAAACAATACCACATGACCCAGGAAACTAATCAGCAAAGTACAAATATTCACTTTCAAATATTCATGTGGAACTGTCCTCCACTGAGTCTACAGACTCAGGATTAATAGCTGTATTCACAAGTGATTTTGAATGATACATCCATTTTCCCCAATTTATGTACAGAAAATTCATAAACAGAGAAGCAAAGCGTTTTTAATATATTACTCATTGTAAATTGTTGGCCCTTCCATAAATAGTTCTTACCAAATTCACTGGGGTGTTGTAAGGCTAAATTTTCCCTAAAGTTCTTTGGAATCTTCAACTGAACAATAAAGATATGCAAGCCTTTATTGTAAAATAAACAGGAACCAGGTGAATAGCCCAAAGCAACAGGTTTAAGGGGCAGGAGGGGGGGGGGGGGAACAGTTGAAGATTCCCTACATACTGGAACAGGACCCAAAAGAAAGGCTATGGTGTGAATACTCTTTAGTCCTTGAGCTATTTATGCAGGTCTCAGAGCAGCAGCGGTGGTAGTCTGTATTCGCAAAAAGAAAAGGAGTACTTGTGGCACCTTAGAGAGTAACCAATTTATTTGAGCATAAGCTTTTTCGTGAGCTACAGCTCACTTCATTGGATGCAGGTCTGCATTTCAAGTTGCTAGGACAATGTAAATGATGTAAGATTTCAAAGCAATCTCGAGTGTAATTGGTATCTCGTTGAAACACATAACAAAATCCTTCATTCCTAAGAAAACAGAGAAACTTTAGAAAAAGGTCTCCCACGCTCCTTCAACCCCAAATGGGTGAGACTAGGTCTGATTTGTGCAATGAGCGGACAGATTTTGTCAAGGCAAAACTCGAAAGTAAAGACAACTTTTGTATGGCGTGTGTCCCTCCGTCCCCTGCATCAGCAACGAGAATCGCCTGCCACATTGCCCCGGCTGGGGGGGCGCGGGGGGGGTCGGGAGGAGGCATGAGAAGCATCAGTGCAATGCAAGCTTGGGTGCTTTGCGGCTGGAGAGCTGGCCCTGTAGCTAAGCGGGCAGCAATCCTCCAGCCCGGCTCAGTGGGCTGCAATGAGCAGCCGACGCAGCGTGAATGCTTTCACTCCCAGGCGACAGCTAACTCCCCCTTACACGCAAACACAGCGGCGCAACCAGAGCGAAAGAGGAGCCGGGGAGGCTGGGGAACGCGGTGCGGCTGAACTGGATTTGCAGAGCAGATGGGACGGCACGGTAACTGGAAGAGGAGGGCTGCAACGTTTGCAAAGCAGCCAGGAGAGGAGGGGAAGTTTGTTTGTTCTTTTTTTTGTTTTGTTTTGGGGGGGGGGGAGAAATGCAAATATGCAGAAGCCCCAGGGTGGTGGGGAAATGCCAAGGGAAACTCTGCTTCTTTCTAACCGCGTCGGCGCGGGTGAAGGGGTCCAAACTTGGCCATATGCTGGCTTGTGACCTGGCAGTGTGTGTGTGTGTATATATATAAAAGCATAATCAACTTACCTTGAGCCCTGGATGATGCTATAAAGAACCAGCTTAGGCTCAACAGCAGCATGAATATCTGGGCTGGGGGGTGAGGAGGAGGGAAGAGCCGCTGCTCTGCATGAAGACGCTTTGACATCTTAGCCCAGACTGAAAGAGACAAACTTTCATCAGCTAGGTCTGGAGAATAGCACCATAATATACAGTTACAGAGAGGAGCGAGCTGGGACTCAGGATGTGAGAGATTTCCTGCATGCAGTTAACTCCCAAACCCCTCCTGCTCCTGCATGGACTGCTGATGAGCTGGGCTTTGCTTTTATATATATAAATAACAAAAAAAAAAAAAAAAGTTGTTTGGGGTTTGGCTTTTTTTTTTTTTTTTTTGGCAAGAACTATCTGTTGACCGTTGCAATAAATGAGCAGACTGTCCGTGTTGGCTAGCAGGAGGCACTAAAGATCGTTGGTGAAAGAAGGCAGGCCTGCCTGGGAAATCTGCCCCTTGCCAACATTTACAGTTCTCATTACAATGGAACAAATTATTGTCCTCCTGCCTCGCCTCAGGGCGTCTCCGCGGGGTCCTACAGCCCGCCACTCCCGCTGTGCACACGGTAACAGTTACTCTGTTGAGGAGAGGTTACTCAGGCACGGTGGTATGTTCCTGAAAAGACACATCACCCCCATTCGCAGACCTGCCAAGTCTCCTTCAGTTGGAAGGAGACTCCCTCCTGTAGGATTAATTTTAAGGTTGGCTTTAAAGTCTCCCCCTCTTTTGCTGGTGTGATTGGTCTATGTGTTAGAAGTCTCCCCCTCTAGTGATAAGTGATCTGGATGAAGCTTCTCCTTGCTCATGGAGGGTTGTATAGTGTGTGTGCTAGTGATTTCTGTTACACACAGGGTGGTGGTGGCTTATTCTGAAAAAGAACTTGAACGTGTAATAAGAGTAGAGAAATTCTTTATTGGTTTCATAATATTGTAGGTTATTTCTGATGCTCAGGGCTATTACTTTACAGCGTTTAAAAGATTAACGAACAAAATTGGTTTTGTTTTTTTTTTTTTAAAGATATCTTCCTCATTCACATTGTCAACAGTTGTCTGGGAAACAAAAAAAACCCCACACAGTACATTATGCCCATCAAACCCCTGGCCTGCCACTGAAATACATATAAATGCAGCAATGGATGCATCTTAGGGCTTCTCCCAGGGAAGGGAGAAAGAAAGGCCCCGATCCTGGAAACACAAAGCTGCCTGCATTTTACACACACAGTTCTATTGAAATCAGGGGGAATACTCATAGGCATAAAGTAACTCGTATGTGTCAGGCCCTAATTCTGCAATTTTTTCCACTCACGATTCTTCTTCCATGGAAGAATTTTCAGGATCAGGGCCTAAGCTTGGGCCTTTGCCAACAAAAAACAAAGACAAAACCACACTCACAAACCACACAGAGCTGTGCAAATTTGAATTTGTAAATAGTGACTGTTCTAGTGCAGGGGTTCCCAACCTTTTGCTTTTGAGGCCCTCCCTGCCCCTCCCCCCCCGACATGCTATAAAAAGTCCATGGCCCCCTGTGGTATAACAACTGCTTTTGTACATATAAAAGCCAGGGCCTGCGTTAGGAGATAGCAAGCCGGCCAATTGGCTGGGGAGCACTGCAAAGCTAAGTTGCTCAGGCTTCAGCCCTAAGTGGTGCAGCTTTAGCTTTCTGCCCTGGGCCCTAGTGAGTCTAATGTTGGCCATGCTTTGCAGACCCCCTGAACCCTGCTCACAGCCTCCCCACCCCCCAGGGGACTCCGCACTCCTGGTTGAGAGCCACTCTTCTTGAGGGTTTAAAGACAGTAGTTACATCATGAAGTAGGGGGACCAGATAGCAACTGTGAAAAAACAGGACAGGGGGTGGGGGGCAGTAGGCACCTATATAATAAAAAGTCCCCAAAAATGGGACTGTCCCTTTAAAAACAGGACATCTGGTCACCCTACCATGAAGGGTATCTTCAGATCACATATGGGTTTGAAAGATTTATACAGTCTGACTTGGAATGGGATAGGACAAATCCTTTTCGCCTCCTGCCTCTCCTCAGACTTAAGATATTCCCCCACCTCCACCAAAAGGTGTCAAAACATTCTCAGAACTCTGTTTCTCTCATTTCTCAGAGTTTTGATTTGCATTTCTCACCCCCACTAAAAAATTCTATGAATTGAGCTCTGTGGAGGACACACAGACAAGGAGAGCGTCTGAGAGGTGAGCAAGGATGTTTCTGATAAAATTTCACCAAATGGTAATATGGTTTCATTTTATCCAGATTTCACCTGCACAAAAGGAAGAAATGGACAAGTTTTAGATGAATCTAAACTGTATGTCTTTAATGGATACCTTATTCCAAGTTATACAGCTAGATAAAGCCCTTTGGGCAGGGTCTCTCATTTTTGTGTACTGTACAGCACAAAGCACACTGAATGAGTTAATCCCAATAAGAGCAAAACAATTTTTTGAATTTGCAAATGATCACACTCCAAAATAGCCAGATTTTGTCTGGAAGCTGCTATCCAAAATGTAGGTCATCTCTAATGTAGAATGATTCATGCAGGGTTGTTTAAATGAAGTAGTAATTGGGAGAAAATGTATCCTAAAAACAGAGAAAACTTCTGATTGGAAATAACTCATTCTCTACCCTGCCTACATACAACTATAATTCTCAGGCAGGTGTTATGATTTTCCAGTATAACTTTAAATTGGTTTATGCTAGAATTATTCCTGATCCCACAGATCTGTTTTTTGGAACAGTTAAGTGTCAAGGTGTAAGGTTGCCAGTGCTCATTTTTATTGACCCACATAATTTCAACTTTTTAATTTTAAAATCTAGTTAGTGATGCCACTGACTTTTTTTAAGGGGTGATTTATTGTATGTATCCCAATACCTTCAACATGAAGGTTAAAAACAATCACCCGTTTGCGTCCAAAGAGCCAGAAGATTCTTCAGTAATGCCCCTTGATAACACCCAACTAAGTCAGGAGAGGCTGTCGCTTTTCTGGCCTTTGAAGGTCTATTTTCTTAAAACATAGGGTAAAAAATTAAAAAGCAACGAATGCTTTTAGACAGCTCCTCTTTATGCTCATGTAGACTACTGGCAATGCATTTCAATGTTGTGATTTGTATTAATTAAGTATTCACCAGTTGCCCTATTTTTTGTTAATTCACCAAGTCTGCCGGGGGGGGGGAGGGGGAAGAGACCTGTGGATTTGCCCCCCCCACCCAAAGCACACAAGTGAGGGAACCGAGAATACTATCATTCCTGTCCTACTACTTGGACTATATAATTCAAGTTATTTTCATGGGGTTTAAAGTGAATCTATTAACAGAGTTTTTATCACCAAGGAATCCAGAGTGCTTTGTTAACCATCTCGGGGTAGAGGACAGCGGCAAACTCTCAAAAATGCGGGATATACAATTCTGGCCAAAGATCTAAAACAAAACTCTCATTCATTAAAAACTAACTCATTACTGACCACGTAAAACAAAACAACCCTTGATTTCTTAAGGACTCATACTAAAAAACCCTCTTGCAATAAATTTTATGAAACTTAACTTATCTACCTTAGATGAATGAAAGAGTGAGTTGCTCCTGCAGCAAATCAAACTGCTGTTGCTAGGCGCCCTGGATATTTCAAAGGTAGGCCCTGGTCCTCCAGATTTTTCCATATAAGCAAATGCCTGGCTAGTCATTTTTTTAATTTTTAAAAATCTTATCCACTTAAAGGTATCAGTGTTTTTTCTTGTTTGTGGTCCTTTTCAGTCATGTTTTATTCTTTCACCCCGATTTTACTCTCTCACCCTTCCCCCCACCCATTTTTGCCCCCCTTGCTTCCAATACTACTTATGTTTGGGACCCACACCCCTTCTATCTGGGGCACATGACATCCTGTGACAGTAGCAGCTCTTCAGGCAACTGCTGCTCGTGCAGCCCCTTGGTTTTCTCCTCCTGACAGTTGGGCCACTACTTCTCTTGGGCTGTGAGATGGGGGAGGGAAGAAGAGGAGACAAAAGGTAGGTAGCTGGTCTCCATGGCGTGTGGTAACATGACAGTAATCTGCATTAACACAATCACTAACTCACAACTGAATTGACAATTCAGCCTCATTTGGTGTCAAGCCTCAGATAGCTGCCCTGTCTCACTGGTATAATATGGACATGCTTGGATGGAATCTTCTAGACTGGTGTGACATTTTGACCCACCTGAGAGGCACTGTGAGCTAGAAAAAACAAAAACAGTGAAGGCTTAAGAGTCAAATGCTTCTGAGAGGTAATCTTGGCTCTGTTTTGGACAAATCATGGAGCAGGTCCTCAAGGAAACCATTTTGAAGCACTTGGAGGAGAGGAAGGTGATCAGGAACAGTCAACATGGATTCATCAAGGGCAAATCATGCCTGACCAACCTGACTGCCTTCTATGATGAAATAACTGGCTCTGTGGATATGGGAAAAGCAGTGGATAGGATATATCTTGACTTTAGCAAGGCTTTTGATATGGTCTCCCACAGTATACTTGCCAGCAAGTTAAAAAAAAATGGATTGGATGAATGGACTATAAGGTGGATAGAAAGCTAGCTAGATTGTCAGGTTCAATGGGTAGTGCTCAATGGCTCAATGTCTAGTTGGCAGCCGGTATCAAGCGGAGTGCCCCAGGGGTCAGTTTTGTTCAACATCTTTATTAATGATCTGGATGACAGGATGGATTGCACCTTCAGCAAGTTCACAGATGACACTAAGCTGGGGGGAGAGGTAGATACACTGGAGGGTAGGGATAGGGTCCAGAGTGACCTAGACAAATTGGAGGATTGGGCCAAAAGAAATCTGATGAGGTTCAACAAGGACAAGTGCAGAGTCCTGCACTTAGGACAGAAGAATCCCATGCACCGCTACAGGCTGGGGACCGACTGGCTAAGCAGCAATTCTGTAGAAAAGGACCTGGGGATTACAGTGGACCAGAAACTGGATATAAGTCAGTAGGGCGCCCTTGTTGCCAAGAAGGCTAACAGCACACTGGGCTGCAGTAGTAGAAGTATTGCCAGCAGATCAAGGGAAGTGATTAGTCCCCTCTATTCGGCACTGGTGATGCCATATCTGGAGTACTGCATCCAGTTTTGGGCCCTCCACTACAGAAATTATGTGGGCAAATTGGAGACAGTCCAGCAGAGGGCAACGAAAATGATCGGGGGCTGGGGCACATGCCTTACAAGGCAAGGCGGAGGGAACTGGGCTTGTTTAGTTTGCAGAAAAGAAGAGTGGGGTGGGGGATTTGATAGCAGCTTTCAACTACCTGAAGGGGAGTTCCAAAGAGGATGGAGCTCGGCTGTTCTCAATGGTGACAGATGACAGAACAAGGAGCAATAGTCTCAGGTTCAGCGTGGGAGGGCTAGATTGGATATTAGGAAACACTGTTTCACTAGGAGGGTGGTAAAGCACTGGAATGTGTTACCTAAAGAGGTGGTGGAATCTCCATCCTTAGTTTTTAAGGCCCAGCTTGACAAAGCCCAGGCTGGGATGATTTAGTTGGTGTTGATCCTGTTTTGAGCAGGAGTTGGACTAGATGACCTCCTGAGATCTCTTCCAACCCTAATCTTATATGATTGAGGTGAGGAAGTGAGGGGACTTGCCCAATCTTCACAATCTGTAAATTGGAGACGAATTCTTCCTCACAGAATTTTGAGAGAGTTCATTAGTTAACATCTGTACAGCACTTCAAAAAGGCTAAATCCGATATAAGTGCTTAGTATCATAATTGATCCATTTAATCCATTAATGCATTGGGGCCAGGAAAGTGTGCTTTGTTCTCCAGCTTCCCAACCACCTCTTACTGTATTGCATGGAACTGCCTATTACTGTATCAAATGAAAATTGACAGAGCTTTGTGTCCTCTGCTTTCAGATAAATTTGTTTTTAAATAAACACAGCTGCTAAAATATTTCCGAGTGCAGTGTTAAACCTGTGAAAGGGGATTTGTTTGTGGAATTAGTCCCTGTTCCTTGGCCTAGGCCTGATCTCTTTACTGAAAGAGAACTTAGGGTGACTGAGTGAAAACTTTGCCCAAGGAAGGTGTGCACTGTCACTATGACTGATTAATATACCAGTGGTTGAAAATAAGGCACAATGAAAAAATAAGCAGCACATCAGCTGTAACAGTAGGAATCTGAGAGGTTAAGAGATGCTTGTAACAACAGGGAGTATTACATTCAAGCCACAAGAACAGCACATGCTGTCATTCACAGCTGTAGACAACCTGTCTGTACCAGACAAGCATGTCCAGGGGACACTTGGTCTGAAATTTTATTCACGTATCAGTATAGGTCCACTTTGATTACCAGAATCCAAGCTAATTGAAATGCTTGGTTATCCAAAAGTTTGCATGTATTATTTTATAATAAATGCAACATGTTTGTATGTTCAGAAGCAGAAAAGGTAGATTTGAGAGTAGGCAGCAGAAAGATGCAAAGTGTGGCAGAAGTCACCCAAAGACAAGCATGGCCTAAAGAAAGCAGTGCACAAGGAATAGGTTATACTCATTAAGTGCTGTGATATCCTTAGATGGAAGGCACTATAATATGACTAGATCAAGCCTTACAACATCTGTGCAGTAGACAAGTATTATGCCCATTTGACAGATGAGAGTGAGAAAAAGAGGGATTAAAATGACTTTTCCAGGGTCACAAGGAAGAAAAACTGACGCAGACAGGATTCAGAATTAGAAAAAAAGAAAAAGAAAAAAAAAAGTTTCTTGCAAGCTGACACTCTCATCATAGATCTCTCCTCCACCATTGCAGCTGCTAAATAACAGCCTTCTTATCTATTGCAAACCACACCATTTCTGAAGTTTCTCCAGTAGGCAATGGAGAAGGACTATGAAATTAGGATATTTGCTTCCTTTGTAGAGTGCTTTGCAATCTGCTGATGAAAAGCATTGTGTCAGAGCTAGGCAATATTATACGTTGAGTCATGTTGGTCGACCTCTCCATGGAATTGGATATAGTCGCCTGTGCAATCTGTGCATTGCATCACAGATATATGGCAAGAGTTAGCACAATTGTGCTTGAGATCATGTCAATCATTCCTCTAAGGCTACACCCAAAGAGTCTTGATGACACTAACTCCTTGGCCTCCAGAATGCCCACCTGTGGGGTCCTACAGGAATTCATCATCCTCTCCTGCATTCCGCTCAACATCTGTGCAAAGCCACTAAGGTGGAT